ATGAAAAAGCAAACGGAGTGAAAGTAAGAGCCAACAGGCGAGGTGGCGAATTTAAAATAAAGGTATTTCTCATCATTTCTGCAGTCAGGATTTCAATAAAGGTGGACGAATCGTCCAACGGCCTGAAAAACTAAATAAATTGTCAAATGACTTTTGATTAATCCGGTTTCAATTGAGGAAATGTCGCGTCCCATCTGTCAATTTACAGATTGAAAGTTATACAACTTATTCTATCCAATAGAAGTAATGTTAGACAAATAACTAACGTGTAATTAACTACGCTATAAATATTTATGGAAAGAAAGATGAGCGTTTTTGTTCATTTGTTCTTTGCGGAACCTCAGTTTTCACTGTATGTGTTTCATATTCATGATACAGTTGCGTGTTTGTCTTTGCATTTTCTTAGCATTTTCATAATTTTACCTGTCAAGATAACATTTCATAAAGTTTTTACAAGGAATCTCGTTGAAAAGAGTTTTTGAAGGAATATGGACTACTTTTATTCAGTGACGTTCGTTTTTCAATGTCAATCGTGATTATTAATGATAAAAGCCATAAATTAAAAACGGCGACCAAAAAACGGTTTTATTGATTGTTACAATTCAGTCAATTTTACTATTTGCTTACCAATAAGAATAATACCAATATATATATATAAAGTGGAAGGTTTATGGGCCGACAAACAGCTGAGGTCATCGCCGGCCCTCCGCGTTTATTCCTTCTCTTTCCTGTCTTTCTCGCGTATTTTGTATTGAACTGCAGCCATTTGAGCATCTCGATCTGGTTACTGACTCTCTGCTTTTACATGTATATTACGTCGTTATTTTAAAAAGCTAGCCTCTTGTTAGTACCTTAGGTTGTCAATTTAAGAATAGATACACAACATACAATACATAACATATATATCGCCACAAACATAGAAGTCTGGTCACATTCACTCCCCCAGAGTATTCGATATTCCTCGGGGCGGGGTTGAACCCACTCCATTCGCGCTAATAACTTACTTTTACTCTCCAGACGTCACACAGATATCGTCCATGGAACCGGAAAATGAAATCCAAGTCCCCCCCAGCGGATGTCATCTCTTGTTACAATATGAAGAAAATACCGCCAATTTTCTGGACTTCGTTAATTTTGTCGATGCAGTTACAGGAATGCTTAACGACGACAAAAATTTTAGCTGAAACAGACGACGTCGTAAAGGGGCAAAGAAATTCAGTATTTAACGGAATCAATCGTGGATGAAAACGTGTTCGGGGCAATTCACACTATTAAATTAGCATTAGACCGCACATGTTTAAATAATTTGTAATGCAATCAAAAATCAGAAATATGTACATATAAAAAAATGAAAACTTTCTTTACATATATATATATATATAATAATGCTTAATAAATAATAATAAATGCTGCGTAATAAATGCTTAATGTACATTTACATGTACTTCCACATTAAGCATTTATTACGCCAGGAAAAACCATTATTGACAGACTACTCGCCACGTCCACAGTCGTCCAGACATCCACTTCTGTACTTATAAAAATGGAAAAACCACTTTATATTAAAAAAAACACTTAAGATGGTTTATATCAGACCGAAAAGACAATTCATTTCCTACCCATCATGGAGAACCACACAAAATCAGGATGACACCATCAAAAAAAATATACAATACACTAAAAACATTAACACTTGCGATATAACGTATTTTTCATTTTTCCTCTCGATACAGTGAACATTTCAATATATCGTACTTATTTTTGGACCCATTGAATATACGATATATCTGGGTTTAAGTGCATTATGAACGGTTTTCGAGAAAAGTGCACCGAGATGTAAGAAAATACAACTTTTAGGAGATTTCTGATTGAGCTTAAATTTTAACCTTTGTTTCCTGTTTAGGCCATGAAATCTTTACAGACCGATTCCTCTCGCGTTGGAGGGTTGCAGAAAATGTTTCCTTTAAAAGATCATTTTTGACACAGAATATACATAAAAAGAATAATTTTTTTGAAAAGTATGGCAAGTTACTAGCTCATCAAGACAAGATACACCAAAAGGCTTATTTCTTCTTAAAAAATTATTTGAACCTCTTCTAAAGAGCGGATTCTCATGAAACCGCAGAAATGCATTTTATGTTCCGAAAGGACGCTTTTCATTCCTTGGAACCACCTTGGCCTGTGTCTTAATTTAAGTTTCCGCTCGTTGAAAGGCCTTAGACTAACCGGGTAAAAGGTCGTTTGACATAAAGTTTCTAAAAAATTGTTATTAAAAAAGGAAACGCTAAAATAAAACTCTTGGACGTATTCCACACAGGAAAGAGTTTTGGAATGGTTACAGCTGAGTTGGCGGTATTGTCGCCAACCCCAATGAGACGTATTCATCCCTGATAAACTTCGATTCGGTAGGTGGTACTTGGCGTCGTTGAGATCGCGTACTTTTTTCAGGATTTTTTTCCAATTTCCGCTTATAGCATAGTCACTGAATTATATTTAACGATATTGTATGTTATATGCCATTAGAGTAACGAGAAATTTAAGCTTTTCGAATATGATCATATTTTATAATAGTAACAAGATTATGTTAAATACAAAAACGACTTCTACTTCCTATATAAATTGTTCAAAACCAATTTGAAAAACAATATAAAAAAATGGAAAATCATGTTTCAATTGTGTACTGACATTTAAATAATATAAGCCATTATGATCAAACACTCACTATGTTCCCGGCACATGGCCTACGAAAAAACATCACAATGTTTCATTAGTTTGCAAATGGCATTAGATTGGTTTGAGAAATTTGAAATTAAAAAATAATAATTAAAATTGAACATGGTGATAAATGTATTAATAATATAACAGATTTTGATCTACCTCCCGTTTTAAATATGTACATAAATAATATCAAACATCCAAATAATTAAACTAATTATTTTAATTGTTATTATTTTTATAGTAATTTAATAATATTAAGTATTTACTAGCATAATATTTATATGTGTTATAATTTCCGCGTTTCACAAGTTCAAATTGAGCGCCATTAAAAAAATCAGCTGCTAATTGGAACGTCGCGTTGGCGGAGGTATCAGCGGGTTCACTTTGGCAATTCATGTCGAGAGACGTGGTTGTAGAAGTCCTTCAACCTGATGATGAGCTAAAAGGCTCGAAATCCGGATCGTTGCAAAACAACTAATGTGAATAGGAACTACCTTTTTAAAAAGGATGCTTATGCTGTCACAAGACAACATCACAATGTTCAATGATTCTCAGTTTCCAATGAAAATATACAATGTTGAACGATACAAATTGGTCAACAAACTTCCACAACGTTCAATGACTTTCATATCGGTCAAAAAGCCCACAATGTTCAATAATTTGCTAATGGCCTAAGAAAAGAAGTCAGTATTTTCAACAGCTCGCAGAAAACCCAACATAAGTCACATTTGCTGACCAAATGTTCCTTCTAAATGTTCTGTTCCTGAAATTGTTAAGATGATCAATTGATTCAAATGACATCATAATGTTAAGCAACACTTTATGTTGATCTGATGAAGCATCAAACTTCAATGACTTCCAGAATCAGAACTTTAAATGATTCTCACACTGGTACCAAGCGTCTCAGCTTCTTATAATGAAAAATAACCTTAAAATGTATAATAATTTGAAAATGATCCAAGAAAAAGTGTTTTGTGTTTGAAAAAGTGTTCGCGTTTTCAACAACTTACAAATTAAGCAACATAACTTCACGTACTTCATGACCTCCGTTGGTGATCCGTCGTGATCGTTGGTGGCCAAGTTACTAGAGGGGGGGTCAACTCGTATTTCTATCCACGCTAATGGTCCTGGGTTCGAATCTGGACACAGCCCATGGATTTTTAACTGAAAATAGTTTGAAAGAAGTATTGTAAAACTGTTTGGCTCCTCGTCTCCGACGCCCTCCTGTATAATAGGAAGTACCTTCCATTTATTCACTATATTTTAATGACGTGTAGTTCATACAATCATTATCACAATAATCATACTTAACGTCTCATCCATTCACAATATTCATGAAACGTCACAATATTCATTGATCGTCTTATTGGCCGTACAAAACACAGCAGTGTTTAATAATTCTCAATCGACCTAAGATAAAACGTCGTTATTTGAACGCCTTACAAATAAGTCAACATAACTTCACGTACTTAATGACTTAATGACACGTAATGATGAGGCAATGAAAATTCTCAGCGTTCAACGACTCTCATATTGGGCAACAAAACATCACTGTGTTCAATAATTTGCAAATGAAACAAGAAAAGCTACATTATTTCGAACAGCCTTCAGATGACTCAACATACGTAACATTCTTAATGACCAGCAAAGAATCAATTTTCAGTAAATATTCACGGTATTTAATGATTTAACCACCTTTCTTTGGTGTGCTCTAAACACATTTTTCCCGAACATTTTTATAATTCTTCATTTAATCAAGATTTGCTAATATTATTGAATACTAAAAACAATTTTCTTGCGTTTTAAACTAAGGTAACAATGAATAATTATTTGTTAATTATAATAAATTATGTGCATAAAAATGAAATAATAATTTGATGATTGGCATTTCATTTTTGCATCAAAATGTCAAGGCGAAAAGCTTTGGACATCTAGTGGTCCAAGTGATCTAATTAAACCAATATCAAAATCTCATTAAGACCATTGAAAATAATCAATCACCACTATAAATCACCCCCCCCCCTAGAAACAGCTGTCCAAGTCTAGAACTGAATACTCGTAATTATGAATTGATGACTTTTATTTTCTGTTTGATTAGATTGTACACTATTACGTAGTTGTCATTATAGTTGATTTGATTTTTATTACCATAAACCCGACAAGATTGATATTTCCCTGTTATTCATTCATAAAATGTACAAAAAATTTATTAAGCAAGAATAAAAATTACTGAGAAATATTTCTAATTTTTATGTTTTTAAATGTTTGTTGTCTTTTTACAGAAAAGGACACAAAGGAAATAAAGAGACGAAGCTATACCGGTTGAGTGTGAGTAGACTGAATCATCTTTTATTTTTGTATAAATTCTTTAGAAGATCATATAATCTAGCAATACGGGATAAGGGAAAAGGCACATATATGATTTAAAAAAATCGCCGTCTGCATTCTCGATAGCATGCCTTTAATTTCCCACTTGCATGATTATATATCACCTTGGATCTGCCCCAATCCATTATTCATGTACGATTAAACGACAAAAACGTTTTGATCCTTTGAACAAAGAAACCCCCGAAACTATCGCTAATTCATTCACGCATACATACTGAAGAATTTCTGTATGTAATTTTTTTTTAACTTTTTTTATGATAAACAAGATTTATCAGTTTATGTAAATGATCGTTCTACTCACAGATCTTAAAATGTAGTTGTTTAAATTAAAAATGTTATTAAAATATGTGAGTAGAACCACTCACCCCTCTTTCATCATTTTACTATTTTATTTAAACTTTCATTTTCTTTATACATTTATTTACATTCAAGATTTGAACGATTTAATAAGCACGTAATAACTTTTACACAACTTTGTTTTTAATTTTGAACCGGCATTGGGTAAGTTGGTAGGTAACAACTGCAGGTGTTGAACTTCTCAAACTCGTTTCGGCATTGAGCCATCTTCAGTGAGGAACTGTCTTTTGTTCATGTATCTAAAACTGCGAGGATAAGCAGACTAAAATGAACAAAATTACAGCCCCACAACAATTTAACAAATTTGTAGATGTTTAAAACCAAAACAACAATTGTTATGGCCTAACATGGAGTGGTAAATGGGTTGATTTACTTTCAAAAATAAAACTTGACAATTAAATTATATAATTTAAGACCCTCTATTTGAAATCAAATAAAAGTTTAATATACTCAAACTTCCAACTTGATTAAAAACCATATTTCACAAAAACCTTTCTCCTTCAAATATTCAAATCATTTTGTTATGAAACCTCTCCTTTTGGACATGAGGGAGGAGAGAGATACTATCAAGAAATTGCCCTTTTGGGCGATGGCATAGTTGTAGAGGACATTTGCGTCTGCCACTGAGCCCTTTGCGACAGGGTTGCCACAAAGGCTAATGACATCAGGAACACTCACCACCACATACCGTATACACAATTCCACGCCATTCCCTTTTCCGCTGTCATAGCTAGGACTGACAAAAGAAGAAATCCCTTTTATATAAGTACACGGCTTTGAACTTGACTTCCCCCATTCCTGATTTATTTTATTGCGCCAGAAAGGACGTCATAGCTTGATCTGTTCAAAACAGCGATGGATCTGTACATATGCAATTATATAATAATATAATTTAAACAGAAAAACATTTCAGACAAGTATGACTTTTAAATAAGCCGGGAAAATTCAAATTATTAAAAAAGTATTTGAAAGGGTTTCATGCACTATTTTTATGAATACGGATCACTCGTCAAAATTTTTTGAATCAGATACATAAGTTTAATTAAAGCTTAATAAAAATAAGCTCAATAATAAGCTCGGTACACTAGTTTTTCATCTCAACGAAAAACTTTAAATAAAAAGAATAATTAATTGGAATATTTAATAAAAATATCGAAAAGAAAACTAAATGAAGTTAATTTAATTTTACATTATTACAAAATTAATTTGAGTTGGTTCATTTATTTATGATTGGGCAAAAAATTATCTTTAGTTGCTTGTAATTCTAGTACTAAAAAAATTCGAAGTTAAATCGATGGTGCATAAAAATAATTATATTCAAACTTTTTCAATGACGGTTAATACACATAAATTAATAAAAGTTGATTTTCTGTTTTTGATCTAGCTCCCTTACTTTCAAAACATCACAATATTACCTTTCACCGCTCATAATTAAATGTATAACATAATTTTCGAAGTTTAATTAATATTAGATTGAAATATTTCAGCTCGAACTAAATAAAATTAATTAAATGTTAGGGTTTTATAGAAATTCAAAAGAGTCGTTCTTCATTCTCTTATCAAATATTTGTAACCTTTCTGTATAAAACCAGTCATTTTTTAACCGAGAGGGACGAAAAAGAAATTGCCTTTCTGCTACAGCCAGAAGTAATATCATTTTAATTGAAAGAGGATCAAATTCATTAAAAAAATTATTTATATTTCGTTTATTTGTTGTATAATCAATCTAACATCTGCTTTTACGTTTTATTTTTTATAAATTGAGATTATTATTATAATTTATAATTAGATAGACCCAACAATGAAGATGGCGAAATACGTCATTTTACGAAATGAGTTTTCGGACTAGGTTGATCAATCAAAAGATCCGTATATCTTAAATTATACTTCGAGCCTGGTCTAATCCAGCACTTACACTACTGCCCCAATCCGAGTCGGTGCCCCGTGCAATAATGTCTTTACCTTTCGCAAAGCATTAATTCTTGGTCCCTACAAATCCGCAACCCTCAAGAGGAACCGACACACTAGAGCAGGCAGGCTATCGGTTGGCATGAGTATTGGTCCAGCCTCTTTCAACAGAGGCGTACCATTCAGAGTTTTCAGTGCCAGGAGTTTCCGGCATTTTAATGACCACACGGACTCTCACGGGTGCTCCCTTAAGATCCTGAACAATACAACCACTTCGATACCATCCATATTGGCGATGACCAACGATTTTGGAGCGAGGAGAAGTTTGCTGTGATTATTGTTTCGTAGGGTAATTGCACTGCCATCATCTGGATTTGGATGATATCCACTGTTGAGACAAGAGCAAGCCTAGGTAGCTCCGATAGCACGGGGTGAATATGAAATATCGATTGATACGGAATTACAATGCACCGGAGAGAAAGTGTTGTTGGCGAACCTCAAGTCTAACTGTTGGCGCATGTTGACAGTTGAAGCACAGATTAGTAAAATATAGCCTTCATTTGAGGAACACGGGTTTTCTGGGTCGATATGAAGAGCAAGAAAGCTCATCTCTAAAGTTGCGCCCCAAGGTCGATCCCATTTACCCTTAGGTCGACCATTCTCCACATTTACGAATTCAGTTGATGGAAGAGGCAGTCCTTCATTACTGGCTTCAAGGCACGGTTGAGCCTATATGGCAGCAGAGGATCTACTGCCTCCATATTTGCAACATTCTTTACAAGCAGTGTTCGGAAACCGGGTTTGCTGTTCAGCTCACGGTCATCTTTCTCTCCACCTATGATGCCCCCTGAGTACCCTCTCATAATTCACAGCTACCTCTCTGACGGGTTTCTCCAGGTATTACACTATCCATAGCAGTGTTCAATATGAGATTTGAAGATACATAGAAACACTTACGACTATTTACATATTTACCTAGCCGCATTGAGGGGAGTATATAACTGATATGATCATCCATTCACTTTACTAAAAGAGGGTCACAACCTATTCCGCATAAAGGAGGTCGCGAGGCCATTTTTTCTTAAAATGCCTTAAAGGGTTGTAGGAATGGGACCTGTTGGACATGGCTTAGGAAAGAATATCGAGGTAAGAGAAAGTTTATTGTGAAACGGTATAAGTTCAGGAGTTAATCATTGGATTTATTGATTAATAGGATTTTCGGGTCGTTGTGGAAAGTATTATGGGAATTTACAATGGATCTAAGGACTTTGGTTTGAAAGGGTTGGAGACGTTGGATATTGGAAGGATACTCTCCATAGTTCTGTATCGGTTGTAGCATTTTGTTTTTAGTTGATCTGGGGGTCGGAACGGTATTTTTGCTTCGGAGTTTAAATGTAACATGGACGAACTTCCTTTCATTTAACTTCATTTTTTTCATTGTCTACACCAGTCTGCAATACATCTGACATGTCTTATAAAGCAACTGTAAGGTGGACCAGGATGGTACTGCTGTATCTTGAGCAAACAACGCGAAGGGAGTAGGTATAAAGGATATGAAGGATTGTTCCATCCCCACTACGCTGAGGTACTATCATGGTCAGAGAACAGTGTCCAGTATAATCTGACCCTTATCGGATTCAACAGAACCTCTCTTACTTGTCAGATTAAGAATTAAGTGGAGAGTATTTGAAAGGACCCGCTTTCATTTGTAAAAAAGAACTTTGTGCCACATCAAGAAAATCCCACATACAGTATTTGTACAGAAATTAGGGAAAATCTATGGCAACTATATTAGAAATCCTTAATCCTTACGTCTTCCACGTACAGAACCTTTGTTAAGAAGTTACAGTGGAGTTTTATAGAATGCAAAAGTCAACTCTAATATTGTCTAAGAGGTATGTACATAAAAGCAGATGGTGTCGCGTAATGATCATAAGTCTGAACAATTTAAAAAATCTGAGCAACATTTTTGTTTTACCATATTTAATTTCACATTACATTTGTTCGTATGTTTTTGTATAAACGACGAGTTTAACATTTATAAACGTCTGGTTATGCTTACGCCGGTTTACTTCCCTATGTGATGAAAACCCGGTCAATGAAATAAAATAATCCCTGTGGGACAGAAGGGCTGGGTATCGTGGACGAAGAGTCAAAAGTCAAAACGGTTACTTATATTTTCAAGCGCAAAGCCATGGGATTTACGGAGATTGAATCCAAAACCGCACACGGACCCGGCCAATATTTATCGATTTAGCGCCGTAAATTGTAAATCAAAGCGAGCCAAGTAACACCCTTCTTGTAAATAGGTAATCTCAATTAGAGCGTCGACGCCCCTGGCGTGTAGAGTACGGCAACAGGCCCACTAAATCAACCCACGGCTTTCGCATGACCTTTCAATCTTCGGGGCCTAATGAATAAATCCAAGCGGCAACAAGTTGGTTTAAAACCCAGAGAGAAGATTTTCTGTGAAATTTACATTCCCTTAATATCACGCATCAGAAAATTATCGTCATACAGTCAATTATAAATCGCGCATGATTTGGTAAAAGATGAACTACAGGACTGTACTGTCCAAGACGTGTTTATGGTATGCTAAGGTTTATTCTTTTTTCTAAATTTGCATATATACTTCACCTAATCCTATAAACAGGTTTTACTTAGCCTTATTTCAA